CTGATATTATACTGAGGAAGGTAAAGATGCCCTTATCAGTTAAGTGGAGATACTCCTGACACCTTATTGTTTTCTCTCTCTGTGCAAACTGTCCTGGAAATGAAGCTACAGTTTGACCCTCAATGACATGCAAGCTACAAGTAAGCCCTCAGGATCTGACCCCTGATGAGGGAAGCTACTTTAAACCACATTTAGAAACGTTAATCCACAGTTTTTACTCAGGCAAAACTGCCAGTGGATGCTGCTTGGAACTGACAAATTCTGACTTCTTGAGGAAAATGCGTGACAGGAAACAGCAGAAATGTTATGTTTGTGGTTCAGGATAGTGGCGTAGAGAGACCAGCTTTGATGCCTAAGGTGCACCATATATCACCCACATGGGGAGGTGGAGATGCAAATTCTGGAGAAGCATGGGGGAAATTGTCAGAGACACCACATCTAAGTTGTATCCCAAGGTCTCAAACTCCACATCAGAAACCTGGGGGGCATGACTGTAACTCCTTCCTATAAGAGACTGTTGTTAATACAGCTTGCTTTTAGATGTGGTTTGGGGGATCCTGTCGGACACATCATGACTGTTCTTTGATACCTGGATAAGCATTTGACAGACTACAAGTCTTCACAGAGACACTCTACCTTTATTAGATGGAAGAAATACATTGCAATTTTCACATTGCACATCGAGTGTGATTATCCCACACTGCTTGACACAAAAACTTCCCTGCAACCTTGGCAAAAAAGCAACATATATAGCATTGACCTATGTACAACTACAGATATCTGTTATGTTATGTGTCTACCTCATATGCTTATAAGATAATTTGAAACAACGTTAAAGGTGGAATTTATCTGCCTTAACCATGGCGTCCGATAGTTGGATGACTAAATCTGAACTAGTCACTCTTGTCAGGCTCTTCAGCTTGTCTTTTTTCAGCACTGATATTCCAACATCATTTGTGCCTTTAGGCAGCACACCGCAGGGGAGCCCTACCTGACCAACTACCCCTTCTTGATGAAGGAGCTTGGGGGGACATCAACTTCTGGTCCTGCTGCAACCATATTTTCAAGTCAATCTAAAGTCCAAGTATAGTCCACAGGCAATATGTCTTTCTGAATTCTGTCATAAAATGAGTAAGTGAATAGTTCAGACCCAGTTTTCACAGTCTTCTCCATAGCAGTCTTATTTCCTAGATAAAGGGTGTCTTGCTGTAATAAAGGCATTTGTGTAAGGCACTAAATAAACATTTCCAGATACTGTCTTAACAACACACATTCATGGATACATATAAACATTGAAAGAAGAGGCCCATTTAGGCTACAGAAGAATATATGTGTTTAAGTATTTAAATTTCCTTACAAAATGAATCTGAGATAATGCACAATGGGGAGGAAGAAGAGACTAAACACTGACTGCCTAAACAGACTTGTGTGCTACCTGCTCCTGCACTGATGTATGTGGGTATGTAATTTTATTTATTTGGAATATTGTTTATGTAATGCTTATTTTGATTATTAAAATCATAGAAAATACTTCCTCTAAGAATTCTGGGTACCCCTTTTCAGCACAAAGTATATATTCATTATATAACCATTATGTTGCTTGTTACCGTAGGCTATCATTACAAGACTTTAGTTCCTCCTAGAGTCCCAACTATGAAAACAATATCGAGAGCCAAGCCCCAAATACAAACCACCATTTATCAATCCAATAATGGAACAAAACATTGTCCTTCCCTGAAACACACACATGTACATCCTACTCCCTCTAACTTCTTGCAGCAATAGTGTGTGTGTTTATGTCTGTGCATGAGTATATATCTACACTTAAAAATTGTCCTTGCTTGTATACTCCACTCATGGTCTTCACAGGCACAGACAGCACAGATGAAAGCAGTGCCTGTTCTGACAGCACATTTGATGATACGGAGGTCTGTTATCCACTATCTCAGAATATAAAAATTGCCTGGGAAAGAATACAAAATGGTAGCGCTGGAAAATCCTGCAGATGAAAACAAAAGATTGACTTTACAGCAGAAGTCTGAATGCATTTCACAACATGTGCATGTTGGAGAATTGTTATTCTGCTCCTTAGAGGAAGCAACACGGTGCTCGATGATGCCAAAAGGGCAAACGATTCGATCTCACTGAATTGCAGGTAATGGCAGTACAACTCTTTCCCAAGGACAAACATGAGTTTTTTAGGTCCTACAGTGCTGGAATAAGGAGACCTGCAAATTAGGGCTGCAGGACTGTAATGCATTTCATGGGGATGGAACTGGGGAGGTTGGTAGAACTCCATGCAGAGGTGGATCTCCATTTCTTTAAAATTACAGCCTGAGTCCTTGAAAGAGGCATTTATCTCACCTACTTTTATCTATTAAAAAAAAAAAATAGATATTTGGTCCATCTGAGTCAGCAGAATATCTTCTTTTTTTCACAGAGAGAAAATCTGTTATTGATGCTGACCTGAAACTGGCCTGAACGGAAAGTAATTTGGGATGGAAACTCTCCTTTTGCTGCTGGGAGAGCCTAAACTTAGTTTTCAGGCAACTGCTGTTAAGTGAAATAAACTCCCTCTGAAGGGAACTCAGATCAAAACTGATGGGAGCAGGATACCTTAGACCTTCCAGAAATCTTATCTAATATCTGAGGTCATTTCAGATGTCTAATCATCTTTGAAAATTGAGCTCTGAGATCCCGTGCTTTCTGGTTTTGTATGTTTCATGAAAATGACTGGTTTTAAGGGTTGGATTAAGTCACAGTGGTTGAGAGAGGCTGAAGATTTATGAACAGCTATGAAAAAGTTATGGGCCATAGTGTTCTTGAGGTGTGGGGGGAAACTACATTGGATGTTTCTACTTTTGTGTTTGTGATCATGTGTAAGTTCATTCAGAAGGCTGCAAATGAGAATGTCAGTTTTTAAGTCACCATCTTGTGAGGCCAATTAATTGCCAATTAACTTCCACCTACTGCCAAACATGGTCTTGAAGCTGAAGATAAAAAACTGAAAGCCACTTTTAATTTTTTGAAAAATTTGTAGTCCAATATATGCAGATTTTCCTGTATTAGGAATTTGTAGCAAACTGTTGAGCACTACTTCTCAAAAATATTAGTTTGAGGTATTATTGGTAATTTTTGAGTATTTGAAGTATGCTTAGCACCCAACAAACAATTAATACAGATATTGTCACCTGTAGATGATGCAAAGATAAGAAACCTAAGGTGCACCAGTTAAAAACTTAAGCATCATTTCCAATAAGGACAATGAGTAGGATATCTATATCTACTGTCCCCTGGAGGATTTAATCCTGGGGCTAATTAGCCAGGCCTTTGTCTTGCATATGGCAGGTCCTTAGTACAAGCAACTGGAGTATGTGAGCCACTTTTTTTCTCCAGGGAAAAAGAGAGACAACCCAACAGCATAATGACCAAAGGGCCAATAGCCTTAATTTTAAAAGGAAGTGTTGGCTAAATTAAGAAAGATTGCTATGTGTAGTCTATCTGTTTAAGGTAATAGTAGTGCCAGAGCATCAGTGACATTTCAGCTTGCAGTTTCAGTGAGGCAAAGATGCTAGTGAGCTCTGCGTCATCCACTCTGGGTCACTGCGGTGGCATCTACGAGGGAGGTAGAGAGCTGGTACACATACAGTCGGTGAGAGAAACCTGGTGTTGACATAAGAGGCAAAACAATGTAAACTCTGAATATGAGGGAAAAAATGTGCAGCAGAATTCACATCCTGAGAATCTTGGTCCTAAGTGGATCATTTGTTTACCCCACCAGCCAAACCTGGCTCTGTGGCAAAGCAAGCCAAAGAATGTCTCCTTTATTGTTTCCATGATGCTTACTCATCTACAAGCCATTCCACTTTTAGATTATTCTATTTTTAAGGCATAATTTCCATCTGTTCTTTGATCTTATACCACATAAGACATTTAGCTAATAACATCATCCATCAAATACCAACTTTCCTTTAGAGTTCAAACACAATCGACACAGGACCCCGTCCATCTGCTGGCCAGTGCCTCTGAACAGATCCAGCTTGTGAATGGCCAACTATGTCGCCTATTTTTTAATTAACCAGCTAAGGTCTGTGCTTTCCGTAACACTGCAGGACGACTAGGGGGCACTCCGAAGGGAAGTGAAATGCGCTCCTCTGTGGAAGGGGAGAAGAGGGTTTGGTGCATCCACAGCTGTGATGTGCTTGTTGTAAGTGGGGTTTTCCAGTGGATGGAGTTTATCTTCAGCTCCTCAGGGATATTTTTTTTTTTTTTTTTGCATAAACCCACAATATCTATAGAAAATGTTTGAAGGATAACTGTTTTCGAACTAGGCGTTCTTTAGAGGAAAGTGGATAAAGCAAAAAGACGATGCTTGTTTCTGTGAGCAAATTTCTGAGTTTATTTGAGAGAAATTTCAGAATTTCAGGGCAGGCTATCTGAAGTGTCAGAATTGCAGATTTGCAGACAAGTATTTATACAGAAAATGCTTGTCTGCTTACCCAACTGGAGAACCAGGGAATGTCAGATGATTTAGGTGACCAATTGTAGTGAAGCAGTACAGCTTGAATTAAGGATATCTGAGATCAATCACAATTAAAAAAAAAAGTCTAAGAAAAGCCTTAAAAATAGAAAAAAGGAGATTAATGAGTATCCAGCAAAAAAGTAGCTTTTCTATGGATATTTTCCAAGTGCAAACAGATAAGAGATTTTTTAAATCATTACTTTCAGTTTCTTCACTTAGCTGTGTTACCTTGTTTCTCAGTAGTTTGCTTTATCTTGCAGACTGTGCATTTATTTAGGAAGGAATCTGATTGAGGATTTATATTCCACTGGCTTATATATACCACAGTGTACGTATCTCCAAATCCGAAACAATAACAACAACAAAAAAAGCGCCTACATTTCTTTTTATTTCCTGGCTTGCCAATAATAAGAAGTCCCTGCAGAGGGGAGCTTGGCTGGTGGTGTTTTGTGATTTCTCAGATAACAAGAGCTTCACATTTCTGTGGAATTCCCATTTGCCAGCGAGCTGCTGCTGCCGCTGCCCTGATTGATATATGACTGCAATGGCACTTTTCCATTTGACATTCCCTCTCTCTCCCTCTCCCTCTCTCTCTTAAACAACAGCCCTAACTTTTGTGTGTTGCAAATATAAAAGGCAAGCCATGTGACAGTGGGACAGAAGAACAAAAGCATTTGGAAGTAACAGAACCTCTTTTTAGCTCTCCGAAGAGTCCGAGGAGAGGAAGGAGCAGTGAATTTCCCAAAGGTAAGCACACAAATAAGAGATTCCTCCAGGGTTTGAGTATTACATGGACTTAAATCGAGTGCTTAATCTCTTTATCTGACAAACACATGCTCTCCTTGTACCATTTTTAAAATTAAAATGTGTTGAAGTGGAACCGACGCAGGTCTAGTACCTGTGTCTCCTTCTTATCCTTGTATCTTTAACTGTATCTCCTGTTTGAAGGATGCCTGTATGTACTCAAATAGGTAGCCCGGTGTGCTTCTGAGCAACTTGGTTAAACATCTATTCCTGTGAGCGTGTCGGGCTCATGTCTGTAGCTCTGCGCTGGTCCTAACTGCATGGCTTTGGAGTGAATGGACGTGCTGGACTCTGCCCTGAATTCATCGAGAGCGTGCTGGTATCACCAGCACCCTCTTTGTCCCATTACAATAGGGCTTTATGAACACAGGCAAGCCTGCTAGTTTAAAGCTGGACTGTTTACTTTTATCACTACTTATGCGTGCTGTTCTCTTGCCAGTCATCTGCTGGAGTGCTTAGAATAATTTGAAACAACAGGCAATATTTATTTCTAGCTTTGTGTGTCATGCTTCGCAGGAGCACCCTTAATTTGCACATTATTATTTATCCAAACTTCTGGGAAGCTTTACTATGGACTGGACAGCACTGGTTATGGGTTAGGACAGATTTAATACACACTTTTGATTGGCTGAAACCTATGAGGAAAGCCACGGTGTTTGCCTTTGCTGCAACGCCGAGGGGTATATTTAGTAGGTAGCCGACCCCATCAGCGCGACGCGCGATGCAGCATGGCTGTGCAGTCAGTAGCTGACATGGGAGGATGCTGCAGGACCCCAGACTGCCTGCTGAAGGAGAAAGGGAGGCTCTCCTCATTTACTGGCAGATCATTTCTCTGTGTATCAGCATCAGAGGCACGAGCATAACTGTTCTCTGTGGCTTTGGGACAAAAGAAGAGTTTCACTGTTATGAGCCCAGTGATAAAGTGTCAGTGTAGTGCGACTGCGAGGCACGGGAACGGACACTGCCCCGAGAGAGCCCAGCTGAGGAAGAAAGCCCCGTCTCCCTGCTGGGATTAAGGTGAGTGAATTCATGCTATAAAAGTTCAAATGAATGGGTCCAGTAATAAAAAACAGAGTAACAAAGATGAACCGTGTGAAGACCAATTTCAGTACTGTGTTAGCTGACTGCTGTAGTGTCAGTAAAGCAGGCTCACCCAGGGTGTGTGCCGAGGGGGTAAATTCCTTGTGGCAAATCTGAATTTGGAAGACATTGTATGCGGACTGACTCTTGTGGGACTGTCAAGCAGATTTCTTATCCTACCCCTCAAGTTCATTCAAATTTCTCCCATAGCCTCCCCATAACACATCTTACTGCTTCTGCCTGGGACAGATGGCATGACAAATAACTTGTTAAGGTTTCTGCAGCTATTAAAGGATGAAAAAATCTTTCCTATATGCTAAGTGTTACTAGCAGTTCCTAAAGCTTTGTAACTGTCCCAGTGGCTGAAAGGTGAGAACTCTGCATATTGGAAAAGGACAGGCAAATGATTATTTAAAACCAGCAGTGAGGACAAATTCACTTCAAATCTCCTCCTTATTGCAAAGCTATTTCCTAATAGAAGCAACCCAGCTGCCTGGTGGGGTCAATAAATGTGGATGCAATAATTACAGTGCTGTTATTTGTCCCTCATTAAAAAAAAAAAATCTACATTTTAGGATGTCTATTTTTATTTTTTTTTCTCTTGAATTACTAATGATGAATTACTTTTGCTCAGGCTGTGAGACCTTGCTCATATCTGTGAGCAGTTATACACATGAATAATTCCCTCGACCTAAATAGAATTATTTGGTGAGCCATTAATTACCAGCTTGAATCAAGGGTTCCCAAAGTTACTTATATATACCTTGACATGCTCTTGCTGCAATAATGAAATCATATTTACAATACTGGTATTATGAGAAGACGCTTTAAGATTTTCCAGTTAAAAGCAAATGTGGAAGGAATAGATGTTTCAAGCTTATAAAATGAAATGCAGTTTGATTTAGTGAAGGGCTATAATTAGGGGCTGCTCCTGATTACTCTACTTGTAAGCTCAGATCTCTACCTGAAGGTGTCCTATGCATTTTTCCTGGGTTTATGCAGCACCTGGTTTTGATCAGCTGCATGTACACTGATGATTCCCCCTTGCAGAGCAGGATGCTTGTTACAGACAGTTTTGCGTACAGTTTGCAGTAGCAATACCCCAGGTAGCTACCTACGCATGGCTGATCTCAGCAAAAGCCATCTGCCCCACCGGGACAATCCCTCATGTGCCACGGAGGCTTGTGATAACATCTGTATGTTCTTGCTTGCTTGAGTTGCCAGGACTGCAATCACTTTTGCTCAAGTGTGAAGGAAGCGAGACACCTCCTTGGGGGCTCCCACTGATGCCTGAGGTGATTCATTTGACAAGGAGTCCTCCTGGAGTTGGCTTCATTCTCAATTTCCCCTGGGACTGACTGTGTCCCCTTCCTGGCTTGTCTGCTCCCAGATGCACTAGGAAGTGCTCAAGGTTGTTCTTGGACCTTGAAGGGAGTTGACTATCTATAGTGCAAAACCTGCATGAAGCCACTGAGACATTTGTTTTTGCAACAAGTCTAGTGAATTATTTGTTTAACTGAAAGAAGAAGGAAGAAGAAGAAAAATACACTTTTTTTTTTTAACTCCAAATGCTACCATTATAATTACAACATAAATGTTAGATGGTTGTATTACAAATACTACAAATTCTTCTGCCTCTTATGTCCTACTGAGTATGAGGAGATACTTTTCTCTATGACTTTTAGAAGAGTTTGGCTACATGAGACTGTGCAACAGCCCTCTGTTATTTGAGCAATCCACCTCTTGAGCGTGGCTGGAAGCGGCCACATCAAAGAAAGCCATAGAGACCCTGTGGCAGGCAGCTACAGGGTAACTGGCTGTGGTGAAGGATTTTTCTCTAACACCATCAATTGAACTCCCAGAGTCCTGAGAGTTTATAACCCTTCCAAAAACTCTTTTAAAATAAACCCCTTGTGACTGTAACCCTCCCATACAGAACAGGTCCTTTTGCTGAGCCCAGCTAAACTTTTGCCCTCTGTGATATCTTGTTCCACCGGATCATTGTCGGTTGTGTAAACATGTGTTTCTTTTCATCAGTGTTAAATGTGCAGCCTCTCAGCTCCCCTGCCCTTCTCCACGTCCTGGTATCTCAGGATGGGGTGAGTAGCCATGCCCAGACCACTATTTTTCTGCTGTCTTGCTTCCCACTTGAAAGCCTTTTCGCTGAAACTCAGCTCAGTGACAGAAAAAAAGTTTAGCTGGGTCAAATTATCTTGGGTGCCTGAGTCTCCCTGGCCAAGAGTACCCCACTTTGCCCACACTTCTGTGCATACATATGGAGAGATGCTGCAGTCTCTGCTGACTATGATCAGCTGTTATTTCCTTTTTATATGTGTCAGTGTGGAACATATTAAAATTTCTCAGTAGTGGTATGTTAGGAATCCCTCTGATGCCCCACCTCTAACTTAGCAGAACAATAAAAGCAAGGTTGTAGTAAGCCTTTGAGCAGCTGGCCGTCTATATATTCCTTCTTTTTTCACATAATCTAATTCAGACTATTATCCGGGTAGCAGTGGCACTACCACTTCCAGACACCATCAGTCCTTGTCCTGTTTGCTGGAATTTCATTGCGTGGCATGGAGATGCTTTCTACCACAGACAAGTGTAGCCTTTCTTCTAGTGTCAGGGTATCAGGCTGCTGGTGCCATGGAGACACCGGTCCTCAGAATTCTACCACATCGCTATTTTTCAGCTTCTCTTTGTTATTTTTCTATTTACATCAATCATTTTTATGGCTTAGGCTTGTCACATTTATGTGCTTATTATTATTGAGCTGCAAACTGTGTTGGTCTGTCAGTGTGAAGGCAGCACAGGTTATGTTGCCTTTTAAGACATGTGAGTTGAGGATCTGAGCTAATGCCTCAGCTCTGGTTTGGCAAAGGTTAAGCATACCATGGCAGTGACAATCGCATTACTGTCATAGCAGCACAGCTCAAAGAGAGTGGGACCCTGTTCCCCTTGTTAGAAGACATAAAATTGTTACCATGAGCCAAATATTTCGTTTTCCTGATTATCAGAGGCTGAGGTATATGGATGGTAGTCTGAATTTTGCCTGTCTATAAAAGAAGAGAGGACCTAGTCCCTGGGGTCAGAAGAGAGGGAACATCCCCTTCAATCATGTGCTACCCTCCAGCATGCATAGCACTCTGCTGGTCTCAGTGGCAGAGATGTCTTTGTTTAATATTAAAGAATAAGAAACCTATCCCTACTCCTGTGTCTATTGACAACTACAATCCCTTGAGTTCTCTAGAAAATATGTGAGAGACAGAGAGCAAAAACTGCCCATCTGCTTGGAACACACTCCAACAGGTAGAGGACACATGTCCAAATGTCCTAGACCTCTCAGGAACATGTAATTTGGCCAAGTGTCATTTTGCCTCATGTTGGGTCATAAGACTAAAGTAGAGCTAGTTACTGAAACAAATTCTACGGCTAATGCTTGGCTGAGAATATTTGCACTTTATCCAGAAGCCACCCTTGCTGGATTGCCTCCAGAGAGGGTTGGGTGGTCTTACTTACACAGCTCGGCTCTGTGCCTGGTGCTTCACCAAGGAGTGACCCCATCCAGCACCCTCTGGATGAGCAAGTGGAAAACTGTATTCTTCTCAGTTCCTGTCCCAGACTCAAGACCATGGCTACTTTGATATTCAGTGAGACACGAGAATAAAGAAAGAATCCAAGACTAGCATCACCTCGCCATTAAATGGCTCTACTAGCTCATTAGAGAGAGATCCCATACATGCCCCTAATCAATCTATTTAAAGTTTCCTGGAAGCAGGAAAAGGGAAGAGTAAAAATACAAGCACTCTTTTGTCTACCAGTAGTTATTCTTTGCGAGTGTATTAAAAACCTTTCCTCCATGTTGGCCTGTGCTTGTCTGCTGGCAGGGCGCCAGCTTGCAGTACCCACTAGAGTTTGTTATTTCAACCGCCTATCAGGAAGGCAGTGTCAGCTCCCGCTCTCCTAGCTACCTGAAGGAATGGAAGTATTCTTGCAAAGGAGAGAGAATCTCAGCCATCTCAAGTGCTCTTCAGCTTAATTTGTTCCACCTCACGCACTGGGTCCCTGCTGCGTGAACACTTTTCGGGGCCTTACATGAGCCGCCCCATCAAAGCCCGGGGAACCAGTCCATTGCATGCTCATCCCATGTGTGCCGGTGCTTACTGGGGTGCTTGCAGCAGTTACTTGCTGAAATTACTATGCTGTTTCTTGCTCTTTGATTGCCTTGGTCTTCCTATTTTTTCAGTCTGCTTACAGCTGCAGGTGTCCATCTCCTTAAATATTAAAAGACTTAGTGAAGCCTCACAGAAGAAAATGATGTGCAGGAGGTTCTCTCAACTACCATCAGCATGTTTGACATTTCTGACTGTTCAGAGGTAGCATCCATTTTATCTTCTTGTTTTTTTATGGGACAATGCTCTGTAGTTGCTGGTGGGTGGGTGGTAGGACAGCGCAGCCTCTGTAGGACCAGAAGATATGCTTCTCTCTTGTGGACACCCAGATGAAGAGGCTTAAATCTCTTCTTTTGACCCTGTTTTCCTTTTTACTGCCTTTTTCCTTCCCTTCTCTTGCCCTCCAGCTGCTTCCAGCTCTGGCCAGGAGTGCGTGTTATCCATGTAACCTCCTTGCAGTTGCACACCACCCTGCAACCTGCTGGGTGGACAGAGCTCCCGTACAATGGGTGAGAACATTGCCCTTGGTGTCAAAGGGGACAAGCTTCAGCACAGCTGGATGTCAGCAGGGCAAACACTCATTTGGCACAAGAAGGCCTTGGGAAAGCATTTCACTTATTTAGACCTATAAGGGTCTCACTCAAAATATTTAGATTGGTATTTGCCCTGTCTCGGGAGGGGAAGAAACCTGTTCAAATGTTGCACAGAGGCATTTCACAAACAACTGGAGTTCTTTGTGTTCACCTGCTGCTTCCCGGCTGCCAC